TCATGTGCAGGAGTGGTCGAAGAAGATGTGCGACAATTTTTGCACGTCATTTTTTTGCCGGTCAAGTAAGGAAAGCGGAAGAAAAGTGAGAATGCGGTTTGCTTTTGCATTTTATTGACTATGTATAGATAGAGAGATATGGAGATTCGTGCAGGTGCAATAGATGTGGTGAGTCCAGCTCACAAGGGGAGCAACGTATTCGTCCTACCAAGAAGCTCAACCTCTACTGCTCATCATTTATGAACGTGTGTTACAATGAAGATTCCACCGTGGCGTAGTGGTCTTCGGCCACGTTGGCCATGAACTCGACCCAGCGTTGTTACGCTGGACGGGTGAATAATTCGAGTATCTAAAATCAGTGGTCGAAGGTATTTCACGACATAGTGGAGACGCTTCGTTAACCTCTCTTCTCAACTATTCCGGAGTTCTTTACCGACTACATCGTGCAAACATTGAGAAAGGACCACTAGTCTAAGGACTCAAAATTGTACGTCATCACGGAGGAGGACCTTTAGAATGTCATGACCAAATATAATCTGACGCCTGGAATGCGTGATCAAGACGACATCATTTCGCTGAAAATGCGAGAAGTGGAGAAGAATCCCGAACACGGGATTAGATATTTCAATTCACAAGACGAACCAAGCGGAAAAGGATCCATCTTAGGTTTGCTGCAGCCAAAACATACGAAGAAAGCATCTTCTGAAAGCAATTTTTTTGCAGTCATTATCACCCCGCTGCAGCTATTAGGTTGTCCGGAAAGTTCTCAGCGTTTTGAGTGTTTCACTTTAAACGATCATAACTTTCTTAATACTCATCGGATTTAATCGAAATAAGCACCGTTCGAATCAACACTTTTGCCAATGTGACACCAGTCGATAAATCCCATCAAAGAAAAAACTGGGTGGTCGAGAATCCACGAAATCCGAAGGCTTTTTTGCCTGGTCCTGATTGATGAAGTATTTTCCAGCAAGGAAGTTCTGAAAATGTTTGAAAAGGTGATAGTCGGTTGGTGAAAGGTCTGGAGAATATGGCGGGTGAGGTAGAACTTCAACCCCCAATTCGTTCAATTTATGGATAGTGATTTGTGAAACGTGTGGGCGTTGTCATGCAAAAGAATCGGACCCTTTCTGTTGACAAGTGCTGGCTGCAGCTGACGCAATTTTCGGTACATTTCGTCGATTTCTTCACAGTAGGACTCTGCTGTGATGGTTTGGACCACCACACTGTGAACCTCTTTACGTGCCAATTTCTGCCGGTCACTCAAATTGTGGGGCACCCACTTGTCGAGTTTTTTCACCTTCCCAATGCGTTTCAGACCATCCGCAACAGTGGATTTGCCAACGCCTAGCTTTTCTGCAATCTCTCGAACTGTTTGGGATGGGTCAGCCTCCACAAACGCCTTCAAATTCGTCAGGTATTGCTTTAGGTCGACCGCTACGAGGTTCTTCAAGGCTGAAATCTCCAGAACGAAATTTGTCGAACCATTGTCGCACGGTGCTTTCTCCAACACTATTGGGCCCCCACACCTGGTTAATTTTTCGAGCGGATTGACCCAATTTGTAGTTGAAGAAAAATATCGTCCGAAGTTGCTCTTTTGACATGCTTGAAAAACTCTTGAAAAAAGGGGGTCAAGCAATGGTGGAACGGCAACCATACCATACGGCATCAGATAGCGCGCAAAAATTCTCTTCAGGATGTACTACTGAGACGCAAGGGAGAATGAGTTTTTAATCAGCAAGTGAATGTACAAAAATAGTAACACAAAACGCTGAGAACTTTCCGGACAACCCAATAAAATGGTTGCATCAATATGGACAGAAAGGTATATCAGTCGATGATACCCACAATATCACGAGATATTGTGGGTATCATCGACTGATATACCTTTCTGTCCGTATTGTATGCATTGAAGCTTGCAGCAATAATGGTAGTGGACGACCGTGATCGTGGGCTTATAGCAGATATGAAGATTTTTATCCACGTTCTTATCTGCGATCATGTGAATTCAGCTTTTTTGTTGTTCCCTGAGATGACATCGAATGAGGTGAAGATTCTTTTTGATGAAATTAAGCAGGTAGTACCTAAATTTGCCCCAAAGTCATTGGTATCAGACGAGTCCTTGGCCTTCTACAATGCTTCACTTCGTCGTTTCCGGGCAGCAGCATAGATCACTTTTTGTGCAGATTCCACATTCTCCAGTCCTGGAAACGAAAGACAAAAGAATGTGTCATGGTCAACCTTCAGTTCCGAGTAAATTGCAGCTTTTTCGTAAGCCGAGTTCCATGCAGATCTTAGCGAAATATCAACGCATCTCCGACTTAATGGCTGTACCCGTCTCATACACTACCTACAGAGAGATATTTTGGTAGGGATAAACTTTGCTACTCGATCTACCACATACGATCCATATTTTCACTTTAAGGACCGCAGAAAATAAGGAAGTAGGCAGCTTTTGAACGAAAAGATGTCGTCATGAGTACATCAATGTTCACGGAAAGGTGGCTCCTACGACTTAAACAGGAAAAGCGCAAAAGAAAA